GCAGTATGACATTACACAGCAGGATAATTATATTGCATGCTAAATTTGTATTAATTTGAAAAAATATGGGCGTGAACTTGCAAACTCCGAAAAGCTTGCCCCGATCAACCCATCAAACTAGTTTTTCTCAAGCTCTAGAGGTTCTGGATTGAATCCGAAAATAGCGATGTAAACAACAAATAGATAGCTGCAAGATAACAAGACTCGGGAATCACTCGTAAAATAGGATCTGTGAATAACATCATGTGAATGTACCAAAACCCAGCTGTGCCATCTGTGAAGTTAGTAATATTTCGTAGAAGTGCCAAAACAACAGGTGCACTCAATGCCTAGCCATGTATCGGCCTCGGAGATCTACTTCTATCAGTCACCGGAAACATAACCCTTGCTTTCGTAATACCTTTTCTCACTTGCTGCCTTTTTCTCGTTACGTTTCTGCAGGAAAAGAAATAGTGATAAGCCATACTTTTGAAGCATGCTAAGTAGAAATCCAAACGATATCAAGTAAAACAATAGTCAAACATAAAAATGCTTTTTCTCGTTATATTTATAATGTTTGAAACTTTTATTATAAATGACGGGTCCAAATTCGAACAATAGTATTGCAAGGAAGCTCAGGTATAGGGGAAAACCTGGTATGCTTCATGATTGGATACAATCCTTCTAATTATTGTGGAAGTGGTGATATCGAGCGGGCTTTCCAAAACTTTGAAGATGCCTAAATTGATTGGGACTTCATATGGGTTGCCTTCTTCCTGCAAAAAAAAAAAAAATATGTGTAACTAACCAATGCATCTTGGCGGCTCCAGAATTAAGCTAATGAAGTAAAGACATCAGCATTAGGAACTTGTTTTGCAATTTACCTTTTCAAAGTTGCTATTCTCTGCTACCGTTCCATGGACCACTAAGGAGATGTTAAAGGTTGTGAGCTGCAGCAATAAGATATTCCATGAGGAATTATATAATACAAGTGTGAGCACTGTTTTAAACAAGTCAAGTTCACAAAAATATGGAAAGTACTAAAACGAGATTACGGGTAGACCCAAATTCTAGTTCAATTAACACTAATGCTGAGGGAGAAAAAAAAAGAGACTATACCCAATTTCAAGAATAAGAAAATTTTGCGATGAGAAAAATAACCAGAAGATTACAGGAAAAGCATGAAGGCTGACTAAATACATAATGAAGCAAATTCAGTACAAAATAGAAGACAAGCTCACCATGTCTTTTGAGATTACCCATGGAGCACCGATTATAACCTCATCCACATAGCGGCAAGCTAAAACACTTAGGCTTCTTTCGTGAAGGTTCATTATTGGCGATGTGCTCCTCTATTAGCACTGTAATGCAATTATTAGAAACAGCTATTACCTAGTGGGTTTTTGAAATACAGTATAAGAGATGGAAGTAAAAAAAGGATGTGTACTTGGAAGTAAAACAAAATACCCTAATCAGAGGTTGCAAGATTAAATGAACATCTGTAAGAGATGGAAGTTCATGAACTGAAGTATCAGTGAGATTTATATAAAGATAAGTTGCTTCCCAGGAATTAGAAATAATCCACATATATGGTGAGAGCAAAGTTGCGTTTTCATGTAACACCAAAATGCACACAGGGTAGGGAAAAGGGCACCAACCGTAAAGGTAGATTAAGTAAATCAACTTTCATGAAAGATAAACTGATACTCAGCCAAAATTTTCAAAGTGGTGACCAGTGACAAGGTTCTATTGCAACTAATATGCTACTGAAAACCCATTCAATGAGAAAACCTAGAACAATAGGTACAAAATTGACTTACGGATTAATTTGTTTTTCATGTGAAGAGATAATATACACACACGTGTGTGGAAGTCACTACTATTGGATTTGATTTTTCTATTATGGTCACACTATATATGGTTCTAAAGTAGACCCCAATGATTAAAGGGTTATTGGTCATAGAAATTGACATGTGAGAGTGAGAGTAAGATGGAGATGATACCTGACAGTCTGATCAGTGTGTATTCCAACAAGAAGAAAATCCCCAAGCTCTCGTGCTTTCCTTAAGATCTATATGAAAAAGATGGCCATGTAACCAAAAGGTAAGTTTTTTTCTCCCTTAATATCTTATCAAATCTATAGAAAAAATTGGAAAACAAAAGAAAAACAGACAAGAAGACTGTAATAGCATGAATATAGTAGAATGAACAAAAAAAAAAAAAATCCTGCGTCTAACAACAACAGTGCAGATATAAAGTGTAATGTGTCTGTGTAGTGTGTTTAGGTTTGTGTGTATGTGTGTGTGAGAAAGAGAGACAGAGAGACAGAGAGAGAGAGAGACAGAGAGAGAGAGAGAGAGAGAGAGGTGGCAATTTTCAGGAATCAGATCACTCTAAATAGATTTAAGGATAAATATCATGTGAGCAAACTCATCCACATTACCTCCACATGTCCAGCATGGAAAAGATCAAATGCACCATCTATATAAATTATGCGCGCATCCGATTCAGGCCCCTGCAGTCAGGCATAAACCATTCACTAAAAAGTGACAAAGTAGTAATGCAATGCCAGAGCGTGGCACTTAAAATAAGTATATGTAATAATGTGATGTGAAATCAAGTTTTGTCTTTCCCTTTTTATCTCCCTTGTTTATAAAGAGACGAACTTCGGAATCTAAGTGAGGGATTGAATACTAAAAGTTGCTCCACTTCAAACAACCAGAAGAGAAACAGTTACGTAGACAACATTACCTTGCCATTTGAAAACTGAACAATTCTTCGAGATGTCGGTAGGAAATGAGACACACGGGTTCCACTTCCAGACCCACCATCTTCAAACTTCTGGCTGTGACCGTGGCTGAATTGTCTTTGCAAGGAAGAATGCTGTTGGATTTCACTAACAGATCTCTCTCTTACACAGAGAAGCATACGACCTATACACGGCATTAGCAAATAACAAAGTTAGACTAACAAAAACAACTGTAATTCCATGCTGAACATAAGTATATATTATTTAATCAGCTCCAATGCTAGAAATAGAACTAACCAACAATGTCAGTGCTGGAAACGCCTTCTGTCCGCTTGATCTGCTTGTAGCGGCCGGCCTTCTTCGCAAGAGCATAAGCATCAGTCCCATCAGGAAGCACACATGGGTCATCTCCATGAATGATATAGTCAATATTGTATTCATCAAACAGCTTCTTCATGAACTCTTCGGTTATGGCATAAGGTGCATCTGGAATCACCTCATCAACCCATTTCACAGCATTAACCATAATCATCCTAATTAAGACAACTAATTAGGATTAACCACACGTTCACATAATGCCATAACCCAAAATTTCGAATCTAATCAGCTCCATTAACACAAAAAGTCGGTACCTTTCGTTGAGAGGAGTCACAGGGGGGCCTTTATTGACGATGATTTCGGCGTCGCTGACGACACCAACGACCAATTGGTCGCCCAGAGCGCGCGCCTGACGGAGGGCGTTGCAGTGGCCGTAGTGCATCATGTCGAAGCAGCCGTCCATATAAACCCGCACGGGTCTGTTCTTCTTCCTCCGCCATCGAAGTCCCAGAGGAAGATGAGGTCCGCCGCGTTCTTGTGAACCCAGAAGCGACACCCCGACGCCGACCCCCACCGCCACCACCACCCCACCGACGAGACACGTGGCCAGAAACCTCGCCCAGCTTCGCGCGTTCTCCGAGTTCCCATCTTCCAAACCCATCTCGCAGCTTCCGAAATTTCCCAAATAAAATCAAATGAAAGTGATAGCTTCAGTCATTTGATACAACCCAACATTTCTTTTCGGGTATCGAATCGGGAAATCGAATAAAGTCGGGCACTTTCTGATTTGCAAATTGTTGGGTTCGGTTCGGGGTTCTCCTCACTTTTCTCTCCCTCGCTCAATTTTCTCACTTTTTCCTTTTCATGTGCGGCGGGTGATTCTTGGTCTTGGGCTGCAGTCCAACTCAAAGTTTTGATTTTTATTGGGTCAAAGAGATTCTGAGTTGGACTTTGTTAAGCCCATTTTTCTTTCTTCAAAATGAAGTTAGTTGCGCTAAAAAAAATAAATTGAGTAAATTTTGAGAAACTTTAACAAAAAGTTTCCGGTATCGTTCATTTTAACGAAAAATCACATTTTTACACTAAAAAAGTCAATCCTAGTACTATTCACTTTACCCTTTATTTTGTTCTTATCGTTAAAACTCAAAGTTTTCAAGCATTTTTTTTCATTATTTTTCCTTAAATTTTGTAAGTTATTATTGATTTTAGGCATTTTATTCAAAATAGTTCAAATATTGATATAACTCTTTACTTTGGTAGTAGTGGTATGAGTTTGTCCACTATTAATCATTTTGGCCATTCGTTAAACATCTCTGTTTCTATAAGGACCAAAATAATAAGAATATCCTCAAATTAGTAAACAATATGCCAAAATGATTTAACAAAATTTAAGAGTATTTTTTATTATTTTGGTCTTATTTAAAGGAGACTTCTCACGAAATGACCAAAATGACTGACGTTAGACAAACTCAAGGACTATTCATATCGATTTTAAGTATCGATAACCAAAGTGAGAAATTATGTCCATTTTAAAAGTCATTTTGGCTATAAAAAAAAACCTTGAATTTAATCTACCGGCTGACTTGGATGTACTTTTAAAATGATTAAAAGCGTTTTTAGATAAAATGTTTTTTGGTTCCAAAAGCACTTAAAGTGCTTTCTGAAAGAAGCACCAGTTATATGCTTCTTCTAGGAAGCACTTTAAGTGCTTTTCGAGAATTTACTTGTATTTTTACTAAAGATTGGTTCTAAAAACATTTTCATCAAAAAATGGTTTCAATCATTTTAGAAGTACATACAACCGTGCTCTACTTTGTTGATTGATCCATTCACCAATTATCAACATCAATTTATTCTTATTAAATTGCGATAAATGTTATCACAGATCATCTTTTCATCTCTTCATCAAATTCATAACGATGTTTTAAAAAGGAGATAAGGAGGGGAGATTTGAAAGTGGTAGAAGCCTACAATTTGTAAACTTGCACTAAACCAGATGAGTTGAAATACAATTAAAAATAACTGCATCGGTGAGTGGAGGGTGCTGGGCGGTGGGCCGGTGGCGTGGACTTTACTACTCTCTGTTTCGTTTATTCCCTTTCAAATTCCGTTATTCCACAACTTCCCTTCCTCCTCTTCCTGCCGACGAACTCAGAAAGCTAGAGAGAGAGAGAGAGAGAGAGAGAGAGAGAGAGAGAGAGAGAGAGAGAGATCGCCTTGGACTGGTCTTGCTCACAAGTAACCATGGCTTCCACGGAGGGTATAGTACCAATAACCAGGGCTTTTCTCGCTTCCTACTACGACACATACCAATTTCCCCCTCTCTCAAACGGCGTCGCTCGCCTCTCCTCCGAGATTCGCTCCTTCACCGCCGATTTGCTCCACCACTCTCCGGCGGCTCAAGGTCATCGTAGTTTCAAAACCCTCTTGAAAATTTTACATATTTTTGCTAAAGTGATCATCTTTTTCAATTTTTTGCTTGCAATTTTTAAAATTTCAGTACTTTGGATAATGAATGAATAAAACGGGTGTGGTTTATAGGCGAGGAGAGATTGTTAGTGAGTGAATTGGAAAGTGAACCGCCGCACAAAGTAGACGAAAACATGTGGAAGAATCGAGAGCATATGGAGGAGATACTATTTTTGCTTGAAAAACCCCATTGGCCCCAAACTGTAAGTCTAAGCTAAGTTAATGTAAGCGGTTTTTACTGCGAAAGATGCTGCCTTTTCGTTGTTTTTTTATTCGTGTTTTATTGGGCAGCTTCGAGAGCAGTCGAGTCTTGATGATGCTGAACTTGCGACTGTGATTGATCGCCTCCGCCAGAAATTTCAAACCAGTTTGAAGACACTGGAGTCTTTCCAAGCGAAAAATTCCGAACGTGTGTTCAACACGGGTTAGTTCCCTATCGCTTGCCCGTGTTGTGTTTAGATGAGGTATTCGTGAATCTGCTTTGATCATAATGGAATTGCTGAATCTGCCTGCAGTTATGACTTACATTCCTCAGGATTTTCGGGGAAGGCTCATCAGACAACAGCGGGAGCGTTCAGAGCGGAATAAGCAAGCAGAGGTTGAAGCTTTGGTTAGTTCTGGAGCAACTATACGTGAACGTTATGCTCTCTTGTGGAATCAGCAAATGGAGAGGTGAGACTCCCTTCGTTTGCCAGTCAGGTTAAAAGCAACATGTGCTCCACCTTACATTCTACTTGGCCGAAAAACTTTCAGGAGGAGACTCTTGGCGCAGCTTGGTTCTGCAACTGGTGTCTACAAGACGCTTGTCAAGTACTTGGTTGGGGTTCCACAGGTATGCTCCTCTACGCAGTTGCTTGCCACATTATTCGCTGGGTTTGCCTACTACTCCATATCCACTGCTGGGTTTCGACCCGAATGTCCACTGCTAGTTTGTTCATTGGCATGGTTAACTTTCTTAACGGCGTGATAAATACTTAACAATTTGACTTGCCTATCTGCTTAGATTACTCGTTCTGCATTTGTATGTATCAGTGAGAGGGTGGTTATTCGATGGAGCTTCTATTTATAGTATTTGTAAATGAACTTCAAAAGTATGTTTTATTGACTTCATGTGTTGGTAACTGTTCCTGCACTTCCTCTTGGGTGCAGGTTCTACTTGATTTTATTCGCCAAATAAATGATGATGATGGGTAAGATTTTCGTGGTAGTAGTTTAATTGCATTTCCTATAGTAAATTAATGTCTCATACACTTATTGTATCCTTCATTAATAGGCCCATGGAAGAGCAACGGCAACGTTATGGACCCCCTTTATACAGCCTTACAACTATGGTACTTCTTATACGACTCCTTATTTCGCTGTCTTGGGGGCGCTTTGAGAGTAGAAAATTGTGAGAATCTTTTATCTTTGGCTTATGTTCAAGATGTAGTTCTATTTATCTTTATGGTGACACTTTCTTTTATTTTATGACTTGGGCAGAAAGAAGCAAGAGTTAGCTGTCTTGGAAGAAGCTGTTGATGTCTACACCACTGAGTTTGAAAGGTTTATTACGTTCATCAGGTATTACTCCTATCAATTTATATACCCCTTCCTTTCGCTAAGGTTTTGATTTGACTATCCTTTTGATCCGTAAAAAAGTGTCGAGGAAAAAATTGCTAATCATGGTTGCTTGTGTATTACACTGCATAATAGAACTCGCACACTTGAAAACCCAAAATAAAGCTGTGTTGTCTTATTGGGCTGCAAGCCTGTTTTTCCTTTGTTCTGCTGCTAGGTTGTGCTTATTGCTATATCAATTTACGTATGCATTTTTTTTTTCAGTGAGGTCTTTGCAAATTCCCCCTTTTTTATCCCAGCAGAGGTTGCGGGCGCATTAGAAGGAAGGTGAGGCACTGAAGCTCTAAACTATCTTTTGTAATTTTGAAGTAATAACTTTTGCTAATTTCTTCTATATAGGAATAACTGATGATTACCAAGAAACGAGTGTTCCAGCTGGGAAAACTCATGAGGTTTGTTTATATATCTTCTTGTGATACTTTTTCTTTTTCCTCATGACTGAAGATGCTTTGTGTTCACATGCATGTGTGTGTAAATCTATTGATTTATTTCTTAACAACGCTGGCCGTTTAACTATTACCCCAGCCAGTAATTAATGTGGCTTCACTACTCTTATAGGTTTTATTGACTGTGGATGCGATAAATTCATATATTGCTTGGGATTTCGCGCTTGTACAGGGGAAGATAAACTTGGTATTGTTCCTAAACGTTGTTGGTCATATGTTGTTTACTTAAAAGTTTTTACAGTGTAAATTCCATATTGAGATTTATGTTTGTTGGACAGGATATTGGATTTAGTGTCGAGTATACAAATTCTTCTGGGGAAAAATCTGTAAGTTTAACTATGATGTCTCCATTGTTAATTACTATGTTCACTTTGGTCTCCTCCTCTTCAACCTTTGTTTTGTTGCTTCCTTTTTCACTTTCTCGTTTCTGTTTCTAACTTAATTCTTTTCTTGTAATTACTTTGGGGCATTGCTGGTTTTACCACAGCTCATTTTACCTTACCAACGCTACGATTCTGACCAAGTAAGTTTTGTTATTTCGGGCTTTTTGTGGTGTCAGATCATCATTTGTGATATTAAATGTCCTGGCCTCAATATGCATGTTCGTTTACAGGGAAACTTCTGCACATGTGAGGCTGGAAACTACAAACTGATTTGGGACAATTCCTATTCGAATTTTTTTAAGAAGGTGCGCAGACATGTTTCGGTATCTTCTATATATTCTTATTTTGTTTTACTACGCCACTTTATGTATTCTTGCTTGAAAACGACTGGTCGATGCTACTTGAAAGCTTTACTTTGAAGTTTGAACCATTAAGTTTTGTTTGATCATAACTCATTATCAACAGAATTGGCGTCTTTTCCATATATTCTGTTACGTTTATTTTCAATCATCGTTTGTTACCGCATATAATGGCTGCCAAGTCTCCATCTCTACAAAAGTAGCTAAAGTAGTCAGATGACTTTATTATGAACTTGAGAGATCGAAAGTGAAATCCGACCATTTTTCAATCGTTGCTATGAGTGATCGCATTTGAACTCTACATGCATCATTGTTATCTTTTGGTACCAGTTTTGAGCCGATGTTTCTTGTTTGGTACGTCCAATATGGGAATTTTCTTACATTTTTATCTTTTCATTTTCTGAATATAGGTTCTGCGCTTCAAGGTAGATTGCATACCGCCAGTTGCAGAGTCGGTGCAACCTGCGAACGAGGTTGAAGAATGAGTGTTTTCGCATCTGCGCAGATTGAAGAGTGGATGTTTTAACTTCATGCCGCATGGATGCTCTCACTTTTCCGTCAGCATTGAATTGTATCACGTTATTCATTTCGTTTTTTTTACGTTGCATCATCGGGGCATGCGATGGTTGGATGGCGCACAGAATGTTGTATTATAAATCCTTCGTATATTACCTATCTGCCCTACAACCAGTTATCGAAAATTCAAGTCCATCAGCAAAATTCCATGACCATTTATTTGTTGAAATTTGTAACCGAGAAGTTTTAAAGTGCCGAAAGAATCCGTTCCTTTCTTTGCGCATCACCATTTACAGAGAGGGGAGCATTTCCTTATCTGCAAGAGGGCAGAGGGAGGCCCAAGTGATTTCTGTAAAGGCCCGATAAAAATTTGGCTTTCAGTGACAACGATTGTCATGACTAAAAGTACAAAATATTGTGATTAAAACGTTTAGTCACGAAAAAGATCTATAAATGAGACCGAAACCTGTGTGACTAATTGATTTATTAGTCACCAAAACAATACATTGACTAACTTAAAAGGTATTAGTCACAACACACCTTATTACTAGAAAATTAAACCAAAGTCTAACTTTTAGTCACAATATCTTTTTAGTTACAACCACTCTTCATGGCTAAAAGATTTAGTAACAACGCCCTTATAATAACTAATAAGTATTTAGTCACAAGTAATCTTCATGACTAAAAATCTTAGTAACAACAACCCTATATAACAAAAGCTCTATTAGTCACAAGAAAGCTAATAACTAAAATACAAATTTATCACTCACACCTGTTTTTCATTAGTAATATATTTAGAATATCATCAACAAACGGCAGGGAACTAGCATCAAGCTAATCAAAGCAATTGAAAGTTGTTTTTATAAGAGAAAGTCATCTAGAAAATCCATCAAGCCAAGTTGAATTCAACAGAAATGGACCATGATAACCTGGTTCGTACATATAGGAGCTTCCAATACAGTTCTCAAATGCCAAAGATGGAGAAAAGCTTCGACAGCAATCTCTAAAGCTGCCGCACTCGAGTCAGAGAGAGAGCTCAGGAGCTGCTGCTGCCGTATTGCTGCTGTATTCTTAAGTTTGGAGATGCATTAACTAAACACTGAAAATTATTCACCCACCATTACTCTTCAAAGTGAATATTCAAACTTGTAGTTGAAGTAGTAAACTACCCTACCCAGGCATGCAAATTAATTAAGAAGAATTAAATATTTGAATTAGAAGATCAAATATATGTCCGTGTATCTGTAGCAAGAAATACTTTTTTAAAAAATTCCCCCGGAAATAAAGAATAAAAAAAAAAAACAAAGACAACTGTGCAACAAGAAAAACCAAACAAAAAATAAGCAGTGAAACAAAACTGTGTGTGTATGTACATGGGTGGACAGTGAGAATCTCCCCTTGAGGAAATCATGGAGATATTATTGTGGAATCACTCAAATGTAATTTTCCTTCCAACACATCTCTCTTTCAATAATATTGCAAAAATACATTATATAATTTGCGTGGATCAGTGTATGGCCACATCACAGATCAATCAAATCGAACACGAAAGTGATCTTATCAAAACTTATATGAGAGAGAGGGAGACCTAGAGAGAGAGAGAGAGAGAGAGAGAGAGAGAGAGAGAGAGAGAGAGAGATGGGACTGGAGTTATTGAAGGGGCATGGCATATCATGGCATGCATGACTGTTTGTGCTTGCTAGCTTTTTGTAGATGAATTATGAATATCTTTGCTAAGAAGAACAGCCAGCGGCAAGTTTTGGCCTATGCTTTGAGCCACACTCTAAATTTGATGTTAATTTTAAATGGATGCCTTTGTTGTGTTGTAAATGTTCGAATGTTTTGGTACAACCTTTGTGTGTCTTTTTTCTATCAACTGCAGATTATCGCCTTCTGCATCAATATTTTTAACCTATATAATTCGTGCAATGCTCTAGACATCAATATCATCCATGTGACCTACCTCAGTTTTTGATCAATCACTTTAACAATATTAATTAACATGATAATGTGACATTGCCTGCGCTGCCCATGCCACACCGCTCCCTTTCACAAATTTTGATCCATCTTTCTTCACGTGATGAAAGAAATATATACAAAATCGTATATAATGAAAGAATTATTTTCTCTTCACATACCAAACAATATTATAACACGAGTAATCGATCTACTACATCATGAAAAGTTAACTTAAACTAATCTAAATTGTAAGGAATGAAATTCAAACTCACGCTCTAGTCAGTATAACAACGCATCCGGAACAAGAACTAATGGAAGCGAGATTGGTAGCTGAAACATCAAATATTCCAGCCCTCCATATGTTTCTAGGGTTTGAATGGAAGTCTTCATTGGTCAACATGTTACTTTTAGGGGAGGGTGTTTGTAGCCAAACGTGTCTTTTCAAAGGCCAAGAGTTATAATTGGGTAATTATTGGTATCAAAAGCTGGAGAGATTTTTCAGTGTGACCGTCACACGAGGTGATACATCACGTGTTCCTATATAAATAATGAGTTAGGTGTGTTAAAAGATTAATAACTTAAAAATTAAAATTTTCCACCACTTATATAAAAACACAAAGTGTACCATCCGTGTTTCCGTTATAACTAAAAATTTCTTCAAATGCTGAATGCATCCTAACCTTTACCCCACAAGTTATCTCATGTTACCTCCAAAAAAAGGTTTTTGTTGTCACCTTTGCAATTATATGTAGAAATTATATCAAAATAAATCACTATATCTTTCGCTTCTTAATGTAATCAATTTTCATAACGACAAGATAAATTAAACACACAAAATTAACACACAGAGAATGTGTTACTTTTGTACGGCCAAATAATAACATTTTTTAATATGTAATGTGTAAGTTAGGTAGTTGCATGGCATATTATCGTACTAGCACCGCACTAAAGAAATAGGAGACTTGTTGCACACAGTAACCTGTACTGTAGTCTTTTCTAAAAAGATTGTGAATCAAAATCGTGCTATAATAAATTAGTTCTGAGTTTAGTGATATTTATCCAAGCTCAACTCTACCAAATCATGATCCCTGCACTGGTTGAGGTCTGGGGATTGAGTTTGTGACCGGGGGTTCGAACTATTTGAGAGGTGAAGATGCTAAGACCATCTCCAACCGAAAGGTCCAGAGGACCTGAGGATCGAAAATGGTCCGAAAACTGTCTCCAACCAAGGGTCAGGCCAAAGGGCTATTGGACCCCACTGAACAAAAAAAGGTCAAAGGACCAACCGGCCAGTCCAAATGAGCCAGCCAACCGGGCCCGGGCTGGGCCACAATTAAAAAAACCAACAACTAGCTATTATTTTTCATTTTTGTTATTTTTTTACAAATTTAAATTTTTTTTTTTTTTCTTATAACTTCCATTATACAACATTAAATTAAATTAAACAATATGAAACAACATTAAATAACATTAACCAACATAAAAATTATACAACATAAAAATAAATTTAACAACATGAAACTTAAACAACATTTTTAAAAACATTTAACAACATAAAACTTAAACGCCTACTCCATGCTTCTTTTGGCCCAAAGATGTGCAACAAGATCTTATTGTAGGTACTTGTTTGTGGCACGAGAACCTATCATCCTATAACGCCTCATGTACTCATTTATAAAAAGGCTTTTTAGCCAAAATGGTCCCTAAGATTTGCATAACACATCACTTTGGTCATTGAGATTGAAAATCAATAGAAATGATCCCTGAGATTGTCCACCATCCATTATTTTGGTCATTTCATTAAAAACTCCGTTAAGGGTCCAGAAGCTCTTGGCCGGAAGTTTGGGCAATTTTCAAAGCTTTGTAACTCAATCATTTCTTAACCAAATTCGACCCATGATATATCAAAATGAAGGTAGGAAAGTGTAGAACAAGATTATACCTATTTGGAAGCTCAATGATTGCTAGAGATGGTGGGAAAATAGCCTGAAAGGTGACTGGTCCGAGGAAAAACTAGAAAACTAGCCGGAAACTGGGTGAATTTTAAACGTTCGTAACTTCTTTAATACTCAACAAAATCGAGTGATTCAAAAACAAAAATCATACTTCTTGACGAAACGAAGAGAATGTTACCTTTTCGACGGCTAACTCGCCTTGGTTTGGCCGGAAAACAGCTCAAAAGTGGCTAACTCGATAACCAAGATAGTCATTTTTGAGCCATTTTCTAGCTAAACCACGGTGAGTTAGCCTTTGAGAAAGGTATCATTCTCTTCGTCTCGTTAAGAAGTATGGTTTTTATATTTGAATCACTCGATTTCGTTGAGTATTGAAGAAGTTATGAACTTAAATGCCTACTTCATGCTTCTTTTGGCCCAAAGATGTGCAACAATATCCTGTTTTAGGTACTTGTTTGTAGCACGGGAACGTATCATCCTATAGTGCCTCATGTACTCATTTATAGAAATACTACCAGTTCTTGGATTGAAAGGAAAATTAGGCCTATCATATATTTTTGCACAAGCCATTCTTGACCTATTTGGATCCTCTTGGTCGTTATCGGACTCTCCATCAATATACCCATCTCGCTCATCCTCCACAATCATGCTGTGTAATATGATGCAAGACATCATGATAGAGTCCAAATTTTATCGACTCCATCCTCTTGCCAGTTTCTTAATGATTTTCCACCGTGCTTGTAGAACACCAAAAGCTCTCTCAACATCTTTCCGATATGCCTCTTGGTATAAGGTAAAACACTTTTCGGCATCATGTTTAGGGATTGGAATTGCTTGGACAAGTGTCGCCCACTTTGGGTAGATGACATTTGCCAAGTAATATCCCATATTGTACTGAAAGTCGTTGATGTAGTAGTCAAGTTGAGGTGATTTACCTTCCGTCATGTTATTGAATAGGGGTGAATGCCCAAGAACTGTAATGTCATTTTGGGATCCAGCGAGTCCAAAGAAAACTTGCTAGATCCATATGTCATACGAGACAACCACCTCTAACACAATAGTTGGCTTTCTCGACCTTCCGCTAAAACCTCATTGCCATCTGGTGGGATAGTTCTCCAATTCCAATGCATGCAGTCTAATGACCCTCTTATGCCCAGAAACCCACGGTCTTAAGCTTTGCGAATGAGCCGATCCAGATCTTCTTGATTTGGCTCGCGGAGGTACTCCTCTTTGTAAAGGTGAACAATTGTGTTACATAATTCAGTAAGAGTATCAGGGCATGTAGACTCAGATATACCATAGGTTTCATCCATCGAATCAGTTAGGGAGGCATAGGCCATCATTCGTAGTGCAACAGTAACCTTCTGATAAGGTGAGAAACCAGGGCGACCTGCTCTGTCCAGCTTTTGTTGAAAGTATGGATTTACTTGATGGACATCATGAAGTAAACGTTTGAACACATGAAGCCTCATCCGGAAGCGACGTCTGAAATCATCTTCTGTGTACACGAAATTGGAGTTGAAGTAGTTGTTCATCATATTGGCATGCGTCATCGCTCTGTTTCGTGGTTTGTAAAAACGACCAACAATAGAGCCACCCCATTGACGTTGTTCCTTAATTGGCTGATACACCATGGCCGCATCCATGGCTGCCACATATTTTGTGTTACACCATGCTTCATCTTCTTCATTAGACTCCTCATCTTCTCATCTCATCCGCGCCCATTTTTCTTCCAATTCGGAATTGCATGAGGACCCCCAGTTGGAATTCGAAGAGGATCCAATAATACACCTCGACCCGGAATGTCCACTAAGACCCCGAATTGGGCCGTGTTGGCTGACACCTGGAAGGTGACGAAGCCATAAAGTGTGATAATGTATAAAATGTGAATAAATTAAAATCTAAAAGTACCTTAAATACACAAGTGCGCGGTGAGCGGGTCTGGACCCATTTCATGCGTGATACAGAGCATAGGTATAGTACAGTAAGGTAATAGTTCATACGCCTCATGAACTAGCGATCAACAAAAATCAATACCTTCCATCTCTACCTAGCACGAGGCATTTTGGAAGCTCACTGGCTTCAGAGTTCATTGGAACTCCGAAGTTAAGCCGAGTAGCGCACGGGAGCACTCCCATGATGGGTGACCCACTGGGAAGTTCTCGTGTGAGTTCCTAGAAAAAAAACCGTGAGGGCGTGGTCGGGGCCCAAAGCGGACAATATCCTGCTATGGTGGAGTCAAGCCCGAGATGTAGTGGGGGCCCAGGCGGGGATGTGACATCCAAAGTTGGAATTCATTGTAAACTTGAATTGAAAGAGATTGAAATGAAATAGATTGAATTCAAAGGTGTGTGAATAGCAAAAAAAAATTCAAATCCAACGGCTAGTTAACGTCATGCTGACATCAACTAGCCATTGGATTTGAATTTGAATATTTTTCGGCCAAAATTTGTAAAAAAAAATTAAAAATTTCTCATTTTTTCCTATAAATTTAAGTTGTTATAGTTTTCAAATTTAAATAATAAATTAAGTTTGGCCCTATGATCTTCTGTTGAAGACGATTTTTTGTGACAGGGCTAAAGCGAGCTCTATAACCCTTTGGCCCTCGGTTTGAGATGATAAGAAATATGGTCATGCACTGTTTATTAAAATATTAATTTCTTGGAGGATCAAAGGGTTAAAACGAATCATTTGTCTTTCGTTCAGTTGGAGATGGTCTAATAAGACCAAAAAACACCAACACTTTTCACAAGAAGAGTCCACGTCCATGTCCATATATATCCAAACGGACCCCAACCAAATGGAATTATGCATGCCCTATCTCTATTTAGCTGTCCTTCAAATGCAGAGAAAGGAGCTAGCGCAATAGCATAGTAGGCCATGTCATCATCATGATTGTCGTTTTCCAGATTTTGTTTGTCAAGTTGCTGGTTTTGATCTTTCCAGTTTTAAATAAATATGGACAATCATAAGCGCTATTCATAGAAAAAAAGGCAATTGTGAATAATTTTCAGTGATTTGGATCCTCTCCGGATCCCCTCCCTGGGAATCCCGGGGATCAAGGTAAAATGACTATTCATCAAAGATCGTGTGGCCACAATTAAATGTTTTTTATATTTTTAAAAGTAAATCAATCTCGTTTTGTGTAAAAAGCATTTAATTATGGTCGCACGATCTTTGATGAACAGTCATTGTGTCTTGATCCCCGAAATCTCAGGGAGGGGATCCAGAGAAGATCCAAATCCAATTTTCAGAGGAACAAGAGTCTCACAACGTCGTACTATAAAGAAATATCTCACATTAAAAGTCTATCAAATATTGTTGCTTATAAAAAGTTGGATACTTCTCATATTGTCGATGAATTTTATGTAGAAATCTCAACTTTCTTTATAGTACCAGAATCAAGTTGCTCCACGACGTTACGTACGTATAACCCAAATGGCCACCCCTGGTACATAACATTCAATTTGTAGTGACATGTACTGTAGGTAAGAAAAAGGAAAACGAAAATGAAGTTGCATAAAAGAACAAGAACACTGAAACTTAGATAATGAGACATGCCTGCATGGTGAATGGTGATGGAGTAAAAAGACACAAGAAAAAGTGGTAAAAGAGGAAAACAAAAAGCTAATGAATTGAAATTCATCCAGAAATGTGTGAAAAGGACTAGTGTGGTCGAAATCTTCACATCTCAAAAATGAAGGAAGGGGTGGGTTCTGGTGAATGGTGATTAATTTGTCTCTCTTTCACGTGTTCTTAGCTTGTGACTGTCAGAAATGCAGAAACAGAAGAAAAGGAGAAGAGAAAGAGTTCGAGAGGACGACGGTCCAAAAGACGAATAACTTTTACATGTAATGCCCACACCATATTATGTATCTATGTACTTCTGATCGAACTGCTTCATCTATTAATCTTTTGATTATTTACAGTAAATTATTTAATCTTTTGATTACTTTCTCTAATTATGTATTAGGGATTCAAATAAGTCGGCTTACTTTTTTGTGGTAGAACGTGCTGCTTTTTGTTCGTATCTGTTTTTGGTTCTCTAGCTGCAAAAGTGTTAGATATTTACAAAAAAAAAATTCACTGTAAAAGTCTTATAACATATTTTACAAAAATAAGTTGACATTAGAGAGATTATCTAATTTGAACTATTTTTATAAAACACATAATATGTTTTATAAAAATATAGTTTAAAAATATGACTCTCTATAGCATTTTTCTTTTACAAATGTCATACTAAGTGCTCTTATATTCTTTTTAGTTTCAGATTTGTACGGAATTGTTTTTTGTCAAAAACACTTCTATTTATAAGTACTTTTATAAAAATTTCAAACAATTGAAAGCGTTTTTGACAAAGCGCAAGTGCTTTCATAAGAAATAGTAGATCCAAAATAAATTATGAATTTTTCTGCCGAACGTAGTTAGAAACTTAGAAAAAATTTTGATTGTCAGAAAGCGATTTGAAAAGTAGTCTTAAACAATATTCCTAACTTGTTACTGAGTAACAATGCTAAAGATGCTTTTGTACTTGTACCAAGTTTTCTTGTACCTCGTAGTTAATAATAAGGAAATAACAAATTTCGGCATATCAACTAAAACTTGGTTTAATAAATTATATGCTTAATATAATTGCGAATAATAACATGCTTTTCAATTATTAATGCTTGACGTTATAATATGAAGTATAATAATTTGAGTGAATTCATAATTACGTCATGTCAACATATTACCGTTACATCAAATAATAAATTTCTTGAATTCTCTATGTTCAATTTTGCCTAAACCCCTTGCTTAATGATGGTCATGCATAAGCCTAGCTAGAAAATTTAATTAGCAAATTCTAATCTCCTAATCTAGGGCAACATATAGCCGGTGGGAGAGGGTCAAACAAGGCCACATAGGTTTTTTACTGCTAGGCTTTTGTTGGCTGTAAAAGTAAGTAAAAAGTTAAGTAGTAAAATATACAGAAGAGATACTATACAAATAAAAAAAGAGCAAGAGGAAAAGGTTGATGGTGGTAATGCAGATGAAAGCAAAATGTCAACCACTAGGCTTCAATTTTCAGGAACTGAGAGATACTTCTCTCACTGGGTCGGTCACGAGGGCTCAACATTATTAGTGCATGTCGACAGCTTTTTACCCTCTTCCTTGTATTATATTCATTTTCTTACTTATATCGGAAACTTTTGACACTTCTTATATTATTATTTCATAGGTTAGAATATAAGTTAATGATATCATAGATGTATATCTCAATTTTCGTTTATATTAATAAAAAATAAATAAATATGTTATAATTTGAAAAACATAGTAACATCACGCCGGAGTATTCCTAAATTGAAACCCTTCTCCTCTCTACCTTTTCATATGATAGATGATCTTACACTCTTCTTTGGTTTCGGCCACTGAATGAAAAAATCAAACGAAAATAATAGCCAAGATTGAACAAGAGTGTGAAAAGTTAAAAAGAACGCGTGTTTATCATTTTCGCTTAATAAATTAATTAGGGAAGGACCTAAATGTAATTCACACAAGCTAGTTTACGATATCAACGCAGCTATTTTCCTCGCTGTTAACGAAGCTGCAATACAAAAATATTACTTTACTTTAGGGTTTGGCCTTGGAACGAGCATGATATATATATATATGTTTTGCTTGGTAATGTAATCACTAATTAAGTAATCAGTAGCTAATTAGCTTAGCCATAGCAACGTTTTCCCCCATGTGAATATTGGAATCGAAGACTTTGAAAACAATGAAAAGTTTTCCTTGTGAGGTCAAATACTTATTAAATGTTAATTAGTAGTTAATTAGCATACAATTACTGGAATTACGGGTCCTTTTCTTGGACCAAAAACTAAATTCCAAAACAAATATGAATTGACTAAACAAGGACGAATTCAGACACTTCATTTGGCGGAAGAAACAACAAACATTTCATGCGTAGCATGCATCTGCATGGATTAAAATACAAGATACATCACAATCTTTCGTGTTGTCATATGTATAGCCATTCTTAGAGTAAAACCTTGTAATTTTTGTCACAATGAACTTTGGCAACACGGAAATTGGATGGTTTGTCATGACTCATGCATGACGTTCATGTCATATAGTGATGTGGAAAAATATTTATTGCAAATAAGTGTCCATTTTCAGCTTATTGTCTTGTTTCTTTTTTGTCAAGTTCAATGATCAAAGCTTAGGAGCCGATTGATAACCATTTTGTTTTTAGTTTTTACTTTTTTTGAAAACTGAAAATTTATTTGGTAACTACTTTCAATGTTCAATTTAAAAAAAAAAAAAATGAAAACTCATAACTAAAATGTGAAAACACAAGCCCTATTTTGAAGGGAACTGTTATTGGGACTTTAAAAATCTCATTATGCACTCTAAATTTTCTATATTTAGAAAGAAAAATACACTTGAGGTGCGCACATTAAAATTTTTGGAATGCTAATAACAATTCTCATTTTCAAAAATCAATAAAGTTGTTTTCAGTTTTCATGTTTTTGAAAACTAAAAGTAGTTATCAAATAAGATTTCAGTTTTGGTTAAAAAGATGAAAATAAAGATAAAATTTTGAAAAGGAATTAGTTATCAAGCAACCCTTTAATTAAGTAGTGTGCAATATATAAAAATCGAT